GCTGTTGTGTTATAGTGTGAGGCACCATTAAAATGGAAAAAATCTACAGAGTAAGAGGAATTTAGCAAGCCTTTTTGAATTATTTCTCTTCTGTCTCTAGCTCTCCATATTTATCCATGTCAAAGAGATAATTTATTTATAAAATATAGGTCAAGCTTTGAATATAGTTTAGCTTTTCTCCATATTTGTCAATCTATTTCTCATGTATTCTATTCTAGTGAAACTCCATTTCACTAATAAGCACTGGAGCTCACAAACAGTACAAGAGGAAGTAGAAAAATGAACACGGTTAGAACCAGATGTATCTACTTTGTATTCACCTTGCGATCTTAAGTACATTATTTAATCTCTGTATTCTCTGGGTTACTTGTCTCTTCAATGAGACTACAATAATGTCTCCATCTTAAAGTTGTTAGGATTTAATCACTACATTCTATATGCTTGGCACTCAGCATCTGCTTAAAAGTTGTTGGTTTCTTAGCTTTTCCAAAAAAGACTTGTAGAAGTCTTCCCTCTTCTCCTTTTACACATGAGAAAGCTCAGGTCTGCAGGAGAAGAAAAAAATGCCCAAATTTCTATATTCTTCCCACTGCTGTTCTTTCTCTTATTAGCTTGTTTCACTTCAGTAGAGAAAAGAAAACTCAGTGGAATCAAAAAGTATTCTTTTCCTCTTCTTAATATAGGGAAGCCTCCAAGAGACTTTTAAAGTAGGAGGGAGTTTAATGAAAGGTACTAAGTAGTCTCAGAACTGTCTTAAATCCTCAGAGATATTAAAAACAGTTCTTCTCTTCCAAGATTTCCATAGTAGAGCACAAGTATTCTGTATGCTTTGGCACCAAAACCTCCAGACTATTCATCTGCACACCTCACCCCAGGCCTCCTGGAATGCTTACCCGTGGAATTTGGCAGAGGGACTGGCGTTCAGTATGAGAGCAGTTGAGTTTGCTCAGCCCACAGTGGTATCTGAAGCACAGCACTGTGCCGTTAGTCAACGAAACTTGCACTCAACCCAGGTAACAATCCCGTGATGTTACTCGGCTTTCCTATCTGTGTCATCTCTTTCCATACCTGGGTATCACCCATGGATAACCTGGGAACCCAGGATGGAATAAAGTAAATTTCAGCAACCTGTAATTTAGATTTTGGTCTCTTTATTTTAGGAAGAATGGCAAGCTATAAATAGCCTAAAGAGTCTGTTATTTTTTTTAAAACATGGTTTAAAAATGACATTTTTACCATAATAAAACTGGTTGAATTTTATTTGGTTATTTAAAAAATATGTGTAATACTTGTTTGTCTCTCTCATTTGTCTCACTTGCCTCTTTACTTGTGTTAAATTCTTGTTACATCCCAAAAGAGCAGAAGACATTGGATGTCACTAAGGTTACTTGTGGCTGCCATGATCCAGGGAAACCCAACCACTGGAGATGGACCATGTTTGTGACTATACAAGTTGGTCTTAGCAAATTGCTCATATAACAAAAATTGCTCATATAACAAACTATGTTGTCATAATTATTAAGTGGTTAAGCCACAATCTAGTTATTTTAGCCATGTGGATTTGCAGAAGAACACAAAATGAGTCAGACAAATGCAGAGGCCTGTGAGACATTTCTGTGGCTCTTGAGGGTAGGTAACATGCTGCTTTTAAAAAGTGCTCATTGATTTGGCATTGTGGAAGTTTTCCAGCCTGCATGGCAATAAAAGTAGCTATTATATTAATCTTTTTTAATAGGTTTGAGTTCATTTTGTAGAAAGGGATGAGACTGAACAGTCAAACCTTTAACCCTGCTATGTATTAATGTACTTGGTTCTGTTTATTATAAACTATTTGTCTCAGAAGCAAAACCCTGTCAGAGTTATAATTAAATATAGACATTTGGGGTCATGTCAAGTACATCTTAAAACAACTACTTATATTATTTTGTGCTACCTTATTTATACAAGTTGGAAGGATTATACTGAGCTAATGGTAGATAATAAATGAATATTTGTTTATTTCCAAATTATGGCAATTTGATTGGGTATTAATCTTGGCAGTATTTACACAAGAAGAGAGAGACCAGAAACATTTCAAAACTGAATGTTTTAAAACCCACCAGTTTCTAACAATAATCTGGCCCCCAACAAAGCAACACATTCTTTACATCTCTTGGTTCTAAGATGGCTATGTTTTCTAGACTGTTCTGTCTGGATCTCATCACCCAAAATGAGAACTGATCTACTCTGACTTCTTTGTTTTATACTTTGTCTCAATTAAAAAAATTTATTTCAAATTCTGCAGTCTTGGGACACATCCACATCCTAGGAGGGTGCTTGATGTGTCCCTAGCTCAAAGTCTCAAGACTTCATTGAAATTTTCAACAAGTTTCAAGAAAACCTTACACTTTCCTGAAAGTTCTCTCCTGTAACAATATGGGATGATGACTTATATTCGTTCCTATTTGTTTTTTAATGGGTCTTTTACTAGGATTCAGTGTTCCTTTGGGCCTCCTCTTCTTCCCCTCTAACACTTGTGGGGCAGCAGATGCCACCCTACATTTATCAGTATCTGAATAACAAGATATAGTGATGTAAACCATGCCAAAGTTCTTATACTCTTCAGTTGTGGAACCAACAAGTTTTCTGTGATGGCAATCAGTAAACTTCTACTTATTTTACACTCTGAAAGAATATTTAAAAATATCTTTGAAAGAGGTATAAGGGTGGATAGGAAAAGTCACTCTACTTAACTTCATATCTAAATGTTAATTACTGAATTTGTTTCCCAAAGGTTGAGGAGGAAGATAAATAAACAGAAATGAAGGAAATCCTCTGCAGATACATGATTACCCATTCCTAGGAAATGAGAATGTGTATCAGTGGGACACAATTTTAATAGAGTGGATGGTGATCTAGGTCAACTTTTCCAGCATAAGGTTGCATGTAGGACAGATTTCAAGGCCTTAATAAAATTAAGCTCTAGCAGATCTCTGGCTTCCCTTGATATCTCAGGCCCACTAGAGAATTGAATTAGATAAAACTATACTTTTCTCCACACTCCCTTTCCTCTCCCTCCTCTTTTCTGTCCCACTTTCCACATCCAGAACAACAAAAACCCAAATCCCAAACCCCTGTATATTTTCTGGCCAAAACTCTGGGGCAAACACAATGATGAGTGTGTCCTGCTGCCTCACAGGTCCTATGGACAACTACAGAGGGCAGCTGACCTCTGGCAGCAGCCACTTCTTTCCATCTCGCATTGAGAACCCAAAGGCAACTCCCAGCTGATTTTCTCCATCACACCATATCAAAATGGGAAAGAAAGTGGCTGGAGATGCTCCACATGACATTGTTCTTCAAGACAGAAGCTAGTTTTTGTTTTGTTTTGCTTTGAAGCCAGTCAGTAAATAGATTCAAAGAAGCACACACTGGGTGAGTGGGTGTATGCTTTCTGGAGAAAAGAGATGCTTAAAATGAAGTCCTGGAGTGAACATGAAACTGGGAGTATAGAAATTCAGCTTCTAGTCTTAGTTGGGCCCCATTTCATCTGTAAATTGTACTAATGGAGCCAGATGATCTCTGAGAGAGGTTGGAAAGTGTTGGAAGATATTCTGATTGGTTTCATATCCATCAGACCCTTTGAATGGTATGCAGCACTAAGTACTTGAGTCTGTGTGTATGTGTGTTTTATTGAAATTCTCTGCACCTCCCAAATTATTAAGAACTGTAAAGCTAAATTTAACTCTAAAGTTCATCTAAGTGATTTTCTTTGGAAGTCACTTCATTTGGCTTTTCAGGATAACGAAATAATAATTTTTTCCCATGTTTTCTGAGTAATGAAAATAAAGAATGTGTATGTCCTTTCCTGCACTATTCCTTTAATGTTGTTTAAAAAATTAACCCAGACACTGACTACAAAAATTGTTTAGCCAAGAAAATCATCTGCTATAATTTTTTATACATTCTGAATTTAGTTTTAGGTTTTAAAAACATAGGGGTTATTCTTGTCTAGCTTGGATTAATACTTAGTCTATAGGCACAGACCTGATCATCTACATTTGCCCTCTTACAGCACTAAATTATGTTTTCTACCTTTATCTTGCATCTACCTACCACTTCAGCATTTTATTAAAATAATAATAATAATAATAATAA